GGGGGGGGGGGCCAGTTCCCTTTTAGCCTCTATTCTTCTTTTTTTTCTCCCTATTTAGATTACATATGGATCAGCTCCACTGATGAATAATGAAAGAGCAGCACTGTTTGTCAAATGGATGTTCCCAGATGAGATGCACCAGCTTAAAGGAATACTACATTTACTGTTGCATTTTGGATGGACCTGGGTTGGGTTGATTTCTCTGCATTAGGAGGATAAAGAGACATTCATTCAAAATCTTTCCATATTTTCAGAGAGAGGAATCCGCTTTGACTTTATAGAATGTATCCCCCAAATGACATATGGTAATGAAGCTGCTGAAATGGTACAGGAGGCAGATACGTTATATAAAGTGATCATGGGGACTACATTCACTGCAGTGATCTTCAATGCATGCCTCCAAACTAAAAGAAGGTGAAATAATTGATGATAACAGATTGAATGTCTACCTTCAATCACCATGGCAGGTAACGTTGGCTAATGCAAAATTCAGGAAGATCATCAAGTCATGTAAACAGCACTGGGTACTATTTTTCTTTTTTGGTTCATTTTAGCAGTTAAAATGAAACATCCTTTCCAGACAGCTTTGAATGCTATTTGGAAGAGCTTGGTATTGCCATATAAAAGAAAAGAAAAAAATAAAAATAAAAACCTATTATCTTTTTCCAATGTTATTTCAATGTTCAGGTCATATTTGCAGTATCAGGTAGAATTTGAAAAGGAATTTTTTAAATATATAGAGAAGGTTAAAATGCATAATGTGTGAATACAGGGAACATTTGAATGTATGAAAGTATAAATGTATACATATAGGAACTTATTGAATCCATGATGTTAGACAGTTTCAAACATAAAAGCTTAATACCTACTTTGTTACTCAGTAGTACTACTATTCCTCACCATTTTAATTTGGGAGGGACTAAGACTCAAAGGGAAGAACTTTCGTAGGCAGTCATAGATGGGCCCATGCACTGATATTTCCTAGAGAAGTCCAGGAATACGATACGTGACAAATCCAAGGAACAAGACCAGAGGCATGATGAGGTAGAATCCAGAGTTCCAAGCATGGCCTAGCAAGGGAAACGTCAACCATATGAGCCTCCACCTAATATACATCTATAGCACTTTCCTCCTCAGTGTTGGCTCTTCTGTAGGCTTGTTTCTTGGATTCTTGGATTCTCTTCTGCAGGCTTGTTTCTCTCCGGTCTATGGAGTCCTGCTCTCTGTTGTTGAATCTTTATCACGTGCCTCTGCTGAGGAGCAAAGCCTCCTGGGCCTTGCTGGATCTGCCTCAGCCAGAGTGGAGTCAATGGCTCCACCACTACTGGAATCATCCTCACCAAGATTGTTGTCCCTAGATTCTCCTGACTCCACTCCTCCCCCCCCCCCTTAATGTATCTGGGCAACCTTTTTGTTTTGGAATTGGAACAACCAAAGAATGAATCAGAGACCTTCACTAGAGAAAGCATGTGGTCTGTGACTCAGTCTTGAAATGTAGAAATCAATAATAGAAACCACATGGCATTTAACCATTATGTCAGATGAAAATCTTCCATATCAGGGATATAGCTTGAGTACAGTAACCATGAAAGTATTTCACATTATTCAGGATTTAGGCAGATCTGTTTCAGTGTTTAATGCTATTCAATGTAAGGCAAAGAAATTCACAAAGGAGACAATTATTATCAGTTCTTTCGGTGTCATTGCAGGAACTTAGGTATTTTTCACATATATTTATTTATTTAGTTAGTTAGTGATTATTTATCTTAAGAATAAGAACTAAAACAACAGCAAAAAAGAGAAACAATTTAGAGTAGTATGATTTTGAATGGACATAGTTGTTATCCAGGAAACTCCTTTTTCAACATGAACCATGACTATATAAATGTTTACATCTGTTTAGATGTTACCAAATAATCAGTGTGGTCCTTTCCAAATAAATAAGAAGTGTTATCATCAGGAGTTATATATCAAATCATGGAAAGATGGATGTAATAGAATATATACTTGAACATTAATAAGAGAGGGAATTGAAAAGAGTCATTTAAATTAAGTTTAATTACCAGGAGTGGCATGGGGTATGTGTGTGCTTTCAAAAATGTCAAGCAAGCAGTTTTTACTGAGCTATCAAAGCCCTGCTCCTTTAGTCTATGCATCATATATTTATAGCATGTAAAAAAGAGGAAGTACTTCAGTTGCTTGGTTGTGTCTGCCATCTTGAATTTTTCGCCTCTCCTCTAATGATGCTTCTGGTCACCAGGAAAGTGCTAAAAAATATGGACATAAGCATTAAACTATTCTCCTGGTCAGATGTTCTTTTATGTTTAGATGTGGCTTCAACAATATGATGTAACACTTGGGGAAAAAGTTGCAGCCCAGTAAACCTGCAGTAGAAGCCAAAAGGGAAAAGATCTCCACAGCCACCATGTACTTTCCTTTGGTGCTCAGAAAGGCTGGGATGAAGGATACCCAAATGCTGCAAAACACAAGCATGCTGAAGGTGATCAGCTTGGCTTCATTAAAAGTATCAGGCAGCTTCCTAGCAAAGAAAGCCACAGTGAAACTGATGGTGGCCAGCAGCCCCAAGTAGCCAAGGACAATATAGAACATGAGATCTGAGCTTTCGTTACATTGCACAATGATCTTATCAGTCTGGGAGTGCATGTCCAACTCTGGGAACGGAGGAGACGTGACACTACACAGATAACAGCTTGAATGAAGGAGCAGAAGACAATGACAGATCCTGCCAGTCTTTTCCCTTGCCACTTCCTTATCCGGTTTCCTGGCTTGGTGGCCAGGAAAGCTAGAACTACCATGATGGTTTTGGCCAAGACACAGGAAACCGAGATGGAGAAAATGGTGCCAAACAGAGTTTGCCTGAGAAGGCAAGTCACTTCCCCAGGCCAATCAATAAACAGGAGGGAGCAGAGAAAGCAAAGGAGGAGAGAGGAGAGAAGGATGCATATGATGTTCCTGTTGTTGGCTTGGACAATGGGGGTGTCCCAGTGAAGAATAAAAGTCACTGCCACAAAAATGAGGGTTGCAGAAAAGAAAAGAACCAAGGAAGTCAGAATGACTGTTCCCTGAAGGATAAATAGCTGAAAATGTTGGGGATGCACCTGTCTTTTTCTGTATTTGAATAGTGATCCTCTAGGCATCAATCACATTGGTCTGCATGTGAAATAAAGGAAAAGGCCTTGTCACTTCCAAGTATACAGAAGGTTTTGCACAGCTAACTCAGAGAAATAACTCCTGATGTGTTCACACAGCCCATCGCACTTACACAATAATGCTTTATTAATCTTTAGGGGAAAAAAACCATGTTATCATGAATGGAAAAGTATTCTGTTGGAGTTCTGTAATCTTACCAGAAATTTTGTTTCTATTTTCCACATTCCCTTTCCTAAAAAAAAAGTACATATTGAAAGACAAGATAATCTAATAGAAAATTTTATTTTATTTATTTATTTATTATTAAATTTGTATGCCGCCCATCTCCCCCCAACGGGTGCTCCTGGGGGGGGGCCATTAAAAAAAAAAACACCCAAAAAAAATAAAAAAATTCCCCCACAAAATTAAAAA